GGGGGGGGGAGGAAGAAGGGGGAGAAGAGAAGGAGAACTAGAGGAGAAGGGGGGGAGAGAAAGAAGGGAGTGAAGGGAATGGACAGGGAGATGAGGGTGGGGGAGAAGGATGGGAAGGGAAGGAGAGCTAGAGGAGGGAGGGGAAAAAGGGGAAGGAGAGGGAAGAGGGGAAAGAAGGGAGTGAAAGGGAGGAGAGAGAGAGAGAGAGATGAGGGGGGGGGGAGGAGAAGGAGGAGAAGGTAAGGAGAGCTAGAAGAGGGAGGGGAAAGAAGAGAGTGAAAGGGAGGAGAAAGAGAGGAATGGAGGAAGAAGGGGAAGAGAGAGAGGGGTAAGTTAGGAGGAAGAAGAAGGAGGGGGAGAGAAGGAGAGGAAGAAAGGTGGGAAGTGGGAAGGGTAGGCTAAAGAGAGAAGGGAGTGTTATCGCGAGGAAAATGAGGGGAATATGGTGATGAGGGAGAATAGAAGAGTGTGATAAGGATGAAAATGATTGAAGTAATGTGATGATGAGGGAAATGAGAGTGGGATGAGGTAAATAAAGGTAGTGAGGTGATGAGGCGTAGGAGGAAAAGTGTGATGATGAAGAAACTGAGGGGAATGCGGTGATGATGAGGGAAATGAGGAGAGAGTGATAAGAAAAATGAGGAGGAGGGAGATGAGGGATCGGGGGAGGGAAGATGATGAGTGTGTAACGATGAGGAGGGAGAGATGAGACGAGTGTGATTATGAGGAAAATGAGGGAAGTATGTTGATAATGAGGAAAATGGGGGAAGTATGTTGATAATGAGGAAAATGAAGGGAGTTTGAAGAGGAGAAATATGAAAGCAGTATGGTGATAAGTAAGAGGAATGGATATCAAAAGGAAGATAAAGTAAATATGATGATAATGATGGAAAGGAGGAGCTTTGATGATGAGGGGAAATGAGAAAAAAAATCTGACGAGGATAAAACTAGGAAGAAGAAGGAAGGGGAAGTGAGCAGGTGACAGTGAAGTGACCAATAATAAAAAATTTATTCCTGTCGGCCCAGATTCTTACAGATTGCTATCATAAGGGATTCACAAATAGATCTCAGAATACGATACCATAACACTGAATTCCAGACGATTCTTAACGATTCTTTCTGTCTTGCGAATTTAGTATGAAGTCAGAATCACTGTGATGTGAACAAGATTGAAGGTAAAATATATAAGGATCCATCTGGACGCAAGGTAAGAGATAGAATATGAATTAGAAAATACAGGACACGTGTGGAAGGGGAGAGAGATGAGAATAAAAGATAACGAAGAGGAGAGAAAAGAAAAAATATATATATGAAAAATAATCTTCTGATTTCTTTTTCCGAGTCAAGACACGGATGAGCGGTGCAGAGAAGCTGCTTCTCTCGACATGTCAATATCTCATATCTTCTTCACATAGATCAGAGACATATTAATTAACCTTTCTAAGATCAGAGGTGACACGCTTATCTTTCAAAATAAATATATATATACATACATATCCTGTAGTTTATCATGTTTTGAAGCCGGTTAGTCCTTTCAAAATATCTCAACCACATTTTCACGACTATCTGAATCTCAAATATTTGCCAGCTTCAAAGTAACTTCTGCTATCCTTATCTACACACGTGAAAACTGTCTTTGAATATAAAGGTGCATGATAAGAGGCGCAGGCAGTTACATACGCTAAAATTCCCCTCAATGAATGCGTTAGTTAGAAAGACGACTTTCCTTCTTTTTAGATTAGATACCCCTGAAATATATCCTCTTCCATTTTCTGTTATCTTTTCGCCTCTCAAAAACGGATTTATTATCTATTCTAGCGTTCGTTTTCCATGAGTGCATTTTCCCATTTTCTTTTCATTTTTATTATGACTGATAAGTTGCTATATCTTGTATCCCTTGCCCCCCCCCTTTCTCTCTATCTATCTATCTGTCTATCTGTCTATTTGTATATCCATCTATTTATTCATCTATCCAGTCCTCTCCCCCCCTCTCTATCTATCTACCTGTCTATCTATCTGTCTATCTATCTATTCATCTATCTATCCATCCATCCATCTATCTAATCTATCTATCTATCTATCTATCTATCTATCTATCTATCTATCTATCTATCTTTCTATCTGTCTATCTATCTATCTGTCTATCTATCTATCTATCTATATCTCTCTCTCTCACTCTCTCTCTCTCTATCTATCTATCTATCTATCTTCTCTCTCTTTTCTCTCTTCTCTCTCTCTCTCTTTTGCCATCGCTTTCACTAATTCTCTCTGTCTTTGCCTTCCTCCCTCTTTCCCTCTTCTCTTTGTCATCCATCACATATCTCTCATCCCTCATCTTTCGTATCTCCTTCAGTTATCTGCTTTATTCCTTCCTTCCATTTCTCACGCCTCGTAATAGCTCCTTCAATCGGTTTGCAAAATTTCTCCCTCGCTCCGCCTTTGTCCATCACACGTGGCTGCTAGGTGTTTAATGAACTAATTAGCATGATACATACCTGTCTTGTGTCAGATCATTGCCGTGTGTCGCCATATTTGCGGATTAGTTTTCGTGGCTTGCTGTACATGGGATGAAGAGATTTTAAAATAGGTTTATCGTATGGATTGCGATTGTTGGAGCTGGATAGGAATGGATGGTGAATATCGTGATGGTGGAAAAGGATATAAATATGATGTTTATGAAATGGAGGGTCGGAGATTTCATTCCCATTCTAACAATGAAGTTAATAGATTGATTATAAATAAATAAAATCTTGACGGATTGCTTATGATTTGATATATCTATCGTCTGTCAATAGTCATAATAATAATAAAAAACTTGTTATAAATAAAATTTAAAAAATGGTGGATCTCTGTCCGGCAAAACAAATCCATTTCCTGCGCATCTGATTGGCTGAGAGCAGAGATCTTCCTGACCAATCAGCTACTTCCGCGTGGCGACAGAAGGATGAAAGGCAGCAAGATTTTCCGCTATCCGTTAACTGACCCTTACCCCTTTCTCTCCCTCCCTTGCAGATGCACGGCCACCATTGCAGCTGTTTACTGGCAGAGTTCTGAAGAGTCCGTGGAGGGACAGCTGCCCCAGACTGGACCCGCCCTGGAGAGTAAAGGGGTGTATACAGGTGAGTTGTTCAGGACCAAGGAATGGAAAGGTCACCACACGCACAGTCGTACACAGGGACACACAAACACAAACAAACATGCACAAACACAAACAAGCAAACACAAACACATAGGCAAACATGCACACACAAACAAGCAAACACAAACACATAAGCAAACATGCACACACACACAAACAAATAAGCAAACATGCACACACACAAACAAGCAAACACAAACAAATAAGCAAACATGCACACACACAAACAAGTAAACACAAACAAATAAGCAAACATGCACACACAAACATGTAAACACAAACAAATAAGCAAACATGCACACACACATAAACAAACACAAATAAATAAACGAACATACACACAATTAAACACAAACAAATAAACAAACAAACAAATATAAACACATGCAAACAAACACAATGAAACAGAGAGAGAAACCAAATCAGAATGCCATTAGTAATTATATAACAAAAGGAAGACATCAAAGATCGACTTATTAATGAATTTAGTCACACATCTGCAGAATTGTTCAATCACTCTCTTAGTTAATTATTCATAAACGGATTAATCCACTTTAAACACACGCCTTGTAATTTAGTTAAATTTCTAATCAGCCGAATGATAATGGAATTCTTATTTATGGTTGTATCAACTTTAATGAGATCGATATTTATTATATTTAATGTTGTCGATACAGATTTTTTTCCGTAATACCGTATATTGTCATAAGGATCATTTATTTTTCTTAGTTACTATGATTTTCAATATTTTGTTTTTCATTATTGTATTTCTGTAAAATCTGTTGTCGATACGATTTTATCCGTAATACCGTATATTGTCACAACACATTTGTTTTTCTTAGTTGTTATAACATTCATTGTATTTTTTTCCTAGACTGGCAATAGTTATGGTTATTAATCTTTTATTGTCATTGGAAATCACTCACCGCCCTTAATCCCTATGATTTTTTTCAAATTATTTTAGATATAAGAGGAGAGAGATCATTTGTTAGTAATGATGATCGGATTACATAATATTATTAGAGAAGTCTCATCTATGTGTGTGTGTGTGAGATAGACAGAGAGAGAGAGAGAGAAGAGAGAGAGAGAGAGAAGAGAGAGAGAGAGAGAGAGAGAGAGAGAGAGAGAGAGAGAGAGAGAGAGAGAGAGAGAGAGTGTGGTGTGAGTGTGTGTGTTGTGTGTGTGTGTGTGTGTGTGTGTGTGTGTGTAAGTGTGTGTAAGTGTGTGTGTGTGTGTGTGTGTGTTGTGTGTGTGTGTGTGTGTGTGTGTGTGTGTGTGTGTGTGTGTGGTGTGTGGTGTTAAGTGTGTGTGGTGTGTGTGTGTGTGTGTGTGTAAGTGTAAGTGTGTCTGTGTGTGTAAGTGTGTGAGAAAGAAAGAAAGAGAGAGAGAGTATGTGTGTGTGTGTGTGCGTGTGTGAGAGAGAGAGTATGTGTGTGTGTGTGAGAGAGAGAGTGTGTGTGTGTGTGCGTGTGTGTGTTTTTTGACATTTACATTCATTTCATTATGAGACTATTCTCCCCATTCTCACCCTTCTTTCACTAACACGTCCTCCCCTTGTCTCTCCCCAACAGGCGACAGCGTGAGGTTCCTCCCCAACGCCTGGCTGGCTGCTGTGGGCGTGGTCGTCGCCCGGGCGCTCCTCCCCTTCCTCCCCCGCTCATAGGCCTCCCTTCATAACCCGCTCCCTTAAACCCCCTTTTCCCCCTTGGTAGTGTCAGCTGAACCTCGCTAGTAGTCGCAGCTTCGCCAGCGGAGATGGGGAGGAAAAGGAGATGAGAGAAAGAAGTAAAGGAGACGAAAGAAAGAGGAGATGAGAAAAAGAAGTAAAGGAGACGAGAGAAAGAGGAGAAGGAGATGGGAGAAAGAAGAAAACGAGAGGAGAGAAAGGAGAAGAGATGAGAGAAAAAGAAGAAATGAAAGCGTGAAGTGAAAGAAAACAAAGAAAAAAGAAAACGAAGAAAAAAGAAAAGGAAAAAGAAGGAAAAGAAAAAAAAAAGATGGATTGTTGACCTAGTGACGATTCCCCCAAGGCGAGCGCTGAGGACACTCTTTGCGCGGATTGGCGATTCGTCCTCTGGAGGGGCACGCCGATTGGTCTGCTTGTGTGTGACGTGGAAAAGAATAGGTGAATGTATGGAAGAATATACAGATTGAAAAGAAAAGAAAGGAAAAGAAAAAATTGATATATATATATATGTTAATTTTGACCGTGTTTAGGTCGAGTTATGAGATTCGAAAAAAGAAGATGAAGAAGAAAATATCAAGAAAAGGAAACCTCAGTGTTTTTGCGAAAACGTGCGACGTCGAGGTTCATTTTCTACGCTGCTTTAGATATTTGATAAGACATATTAGACCATGAACTGAGGATATTTTATCTGTTATTGTATCTAGAGGCACAAGTTATACAGAGAACGCGCGCAGAGGATGTAGTTCAGTACCTGTCCCTGTGCGTTTACTTCCCCTCGTCCAGATATTTGAATTCCCCGAGTCCTTTCCCTTTCGCCCCTTTCCCCTCTTTTCCTCGTCCCCTTTCCTCTCCCCTTCCCCTTCCCCTTTCTCGCCTTCTCCCTTTCCCCCTCTCCCTCTCTTCCCCTTTCTCACTTTCTCCCTCGTCTCCTTTCCCCCTTTCCTTCCCCTTCCCCTTCGCCTTCTCCTCGTCCCTTTCCCCCCTCCTCTTCCCCATTCTCCTTTCTCCTTCTCCCTCTCCCCCTTCCTCTCCCTTTCCCCTTTTCTCCTTTCTCCCTCTTCCCCTTTTCCCTCTCCCCTTCCCCTTTCTCGTCTTCTCCTCGTCCCTTTCCTCTCCCCCTCCCCTTCCCCTTTCTCGCTTTCTTCCTCGTCTCTTTTCCCTCTCTCCCCTTCTTCTTCCCCTTTCTCGCCTTCTCCCTCGTCCCCTTTCCTCTCCCTTTCCCTTTTCCCTTCATCATCACCTTCCTTTACCCTTCCCCTTCCTCTTCCCCTCCTTCCTCTTTTCCCTTCCTCTTCTTACCCTTCCCCTTAACCTTCCCCTTCCCCTTTCTCTTCCTTTCTCTCTTCCCCTTCTCCCTTCTTAATCTTTCCTTCTCCTTCCCTTTCACCTTCCCCTTCCCTTGTCCTACTCTTCCCTCATCCTTCCCTTGCCCTTCCTCCATGGTTTCTTTAATAAGCTATATGTAATGTCTCTTTCATCAAAGGTACACTCGCTCTCTTTTTAATTACTTGCCTTTGTAGCTCTTTTTTTCTCTCTCTCTTCCCCTTTTTATAGTTTTTCTTTCCCAAGTCGTCTTTTATTACCTCTTGTGTGATTTCCTTCTCCTTCTCCCCCAGTGCTTCCTTCTTCTACTACTGTTGGAGGCTTTCCAATTTCCTGTGTTCGAACTGTCTTTGGTCTTTTCTTTCCCCCTTTCTGTGATCTCTCTCTCTCTCTCTCTTTCTTTTTCTCTCTCTCGCTCTCCGTCTGTTGGTTTCTCTCTCCTTTTTTTGTAACTCTCTCTCTCTATCTCTCTCTCTGTCTCTTTCTCTCTCGCTTTCGCTCTCCGTCTGTCGGTTTCTCTCTCTTTTTTTCTTTTCTCTCTCTCTCTCCCTCTGTCTGTCTGTCTGTCTGTCTGTCTGTCTGTCTCTCTCTCTCTCTCTCTTGCTTTCGCTCTCCGTCTGTCGGTTCTCTCTCTCTTTTTTTTCTTTCTCCCTGTCTCTCTCTCTATCAATCTATCTCTCGGCATCGTTCTCCCTCAGTTTCTTCTTCTTCTTCTTCTTCTTCTTCTCTTCTTCTTCTTCTTCTTCTTCTTCTCTCTCTCTCTCTCTCTCTCTCTCTCTCTCTCTCTCTCTCTCTCTCTCTCTCTCTCTCTCTCTCTCTCTCTATCCCTCGCTTTATTTTTTACGATTCACTCGCCCTGTCTTATCACCAGCGCTCTCTCTCTCTCTCTCTCTCTCTATCTATCTACCTATCTCTCTTTCCCTCCCTTTTTTTACGATTTCCTCGCCCTGTCTATCCTGTCTCTATCTCTCTCTCTCATCTCTCTCTCTCTCTCTCCTCTCTCTCTCTCTCTCTCTCTCTCTCTCTCTCTCTCTCTCTCTCTCTCTCTCTCCCTCCCTCTCCCTCGCGACGCGCTTCGTCTCACCAGTTCAATAACTTTTCTTCTTGACTGTTTGAATGTCATTATCGACTTTTGTATCACTCTCGCCTCTTTTTTATGTGTATTTCATTTTCTTTTGTCATATAATGCCACTGACGGCACACCTTTTCGTTCATTTATCTTTCTTATTCAATCAGCCATTGTCTATTCTTATTTTCTTGTCCTTGTTGTTCTCCAGCGATCATTTATCACTCCTGTTAACCTCACCTCTTCCTCCACCCCCCCCCCCTCCTTTTCCTCCCTCCAATCAACACTATTTCCTCCTATTCCCTTCGATCCCCTCACTCACTCCTCCTCACCCCCCCTCACCCCTCCCCCTTTCTCTCCGCTCCATCCCTCTCCTTCCCCTTCCTCTCTCTCCTCCCCTCTCCTTCCCCTTTCTCCCCTCCCCCTCCCCTCCCTCACACTTCACCGCTCCCCCCTTTCCTCTCCTCCCCCTCCCTCTTCCCCTTCCTCCTATCTCCCTCCCCTTTCTCCTTCTTTTCCCTCCCCCCCCATTTCCTTCCCCCTCCCCCTTCCCTCCCCTCCTCCTCCTCCCCATATCTAATCGATAATCATGCTCGATAAAAGATATATAGTTATAAAGAAGTTCTCGGTGTTTGATTACGTATGTTGTGTGTACATAATTTGCATATCTCTATTTTGAGAAAGTGTGAGATTTATACATATGTGAATATTGTTGTAGGTAATTCTGTCAGAAGAAACCCCCCTTTATAATGATGCAGCTGTCATCATCTGTGTCTGTTTCTCCTCTTTACCTTTCTCCATTGCCTCCTTTTTCTTATCTTTGTATGCCTTTGCGTGTTTTTTTTCTCGCCTATTTGCCCTGTCTCCCTCTCTGTTCACCTCTCAGTTTCTTTCTTTACTTGCCCGTCTGTCTGTTCGTCCAGCCATTTGCTCTCTCTCTCTCTTTCTTTCTTTCTCTTTCTTTCTTTCTTTCTCTCTCTTTCTCTCTCTCTCTCTCTCTCTCTCTCTCTCTCTCTCTCTCTCTCTCTCTCTCTCTCTCTATCTATCTATCTATCTATCTATCTATCTATCTATCTCCCTCTTTTCTCTTCTTCGCTTTCTTCTTCCTCTTCCTCTTTTAGATTTATTCTCTTTCTTCTTCATCTTCTTCTTATTCTTCGTCTTATTCTTCCCCTCCTATTCTTTCTTTTTTATTCTACTACTACTACTAATTCTTCTTCCTTTTCTTTTTCATCTTCTTCGTCTTCCTTTCCTTTTCCATTCGGGGGTATATCAGTCTATGCTATGGACTTCAACATCGAAAAAGCGCATTGGTTATCGACATATGCTCAATATTAATAACCATTTCCCCGGGAATAAAAAGAGAGTAGGGAAAAATATCATTACTTTCTCTTTCCCCCCTTTTTATTCTTATTCCTCAATTTATTCCCTCATAAACTTTCATCCACTTTCTTTCCAACCCAGATCGAAATTTTTCCTCAACGTTCAATCACTCGTTCGTCTCGTTCCCAGCAAGACCCTGCACTTTTCCTGTTGAAGTCGATAACATTGATTTCTTAAGAAAATAGAGAAAGGAATTTACTGATAAACTGCGCCTTCATATTGTGGTGAATAACTGTTTTAATGCCTGTGCCATTTTTTGGGTGTTTATTCCAGCTGTCTGTGTGCTGACGATTACATTAAGGTAACATTGTGATATGATGATTTTGAAAAAAAAAGAGAGATTAAGAAAACTCATCACTTGCTGTAGTTTCGTAAGTCATACGAAAGGATGAATTTCTACGATAGACTGTTTCCATAATGATGATAGTTTCCGATGTCTATCTATATCATTTCCTCCCCCCCCCCCCCTTCCTCTCTCGTTTTTATATCAACTTGGGAGATGTAACTGGCCGGACACATATCGAAATGTTGACATATCCAGAGCATTTATAAGAGCTCTGTAGTGTTTAAGTTAGTTCAAGGAAAGAACCCACAACCCCACCCCACCCTCACCCCCCAACCTCCAATCCTCACCCCCCCTCCACCCCATCCTAACCCCGAGGAAAATAAGGTCACCAATAATCTTCCAGTTTTTATCAACTACATTGTAATCTTAGTATGATTGAAAGATTTTTTTTTCTGGCTGACTCAAACGTACTTGTAAATAGTTATGAATTATATATATTATGATATGTGTTGTTATATGCCAATAAATGCAGATTATGTAGAAGCTGTTTATATATGAATATATATTCAGATTAATCGTCACATGGCATCTGTACCGGGTCTCGATATCTGATCTCTGTTTTTAATCAACTCTGGATTTCTCTCCGGGTCTCATCTCCTCCTCGTGTTCCTCTGATACAAAATGGCCGCCGGATATGCGAAGGGGATCCTCAACCGGAGTTGTGGGCGGGAAGGATTTTTTTTTTTTTTTTTTTTTTTTTTTTTTTTTTTTTTTTTTTTGGGGGGGGGGTAAATTGCATTTCCTTATTTGAGGAGTTAAGGTCTCTCTTAATTTTTATTTTGTTTTTGTAGTTCTCTCTCTCTCTCTCTCTCTCTCTCTCTCTCTCTCTCTCTCTCTCTCTCTCTCTCTCTCTCTCTCTCTCTCTCTCTCTCTCTCTCTCTCTCTCTCTCTCTCTCCACACACACATGCAAAGAAATACAAACACACACAGATACACGTACACACGCTCGCACACGCATACACACACACTCATTAATTCTATATATAAAAAACTAACATATCACGATTCTAATTAGAAAAAAAAAACACGGATAATGACATATCAGAAGTAATTTA